CGATGTGAAGAATAGTAGAAGTGGATTAACGCGCTGTCACAGTAATGAGTTGACACTAGCAGGAAGTATAGGACAGGGGAAGACACGTTACGTTAATACAATCCATATGCTATGTACTGCAACTGTGACACGTGCCCACTTATAGTCATACGAATTGATCGGTGCGATTGTGGTTATAGATTAACAGAGTGATAACGTAGAAGGGGGGTTTTTAGACAGGTTTCCCATGGGGTGCTGTAATTGCATTACCTGTTAACGAAGTAAAAACCTAGTTTATCCGGCGCAAACCTCGTTTATACGGCCGACTACACAATGACCTGACAAGCATGCCTGCATGACACAGGACACTCCATCAGCCACCACCACTTATATACATCCCCAAATACAACACACAAAAACTAACACATCTCAACACCAAACATTCAATGCACTCACATACATTCCCAAATACAACCCACATAAACAAACACATCTCAACACCACACATCACTCCACTCATATACATTCCCAAATACAACACACACAAACAAACACATCTTAACACCACACATATACATCATCAAATACAACACACACAAACAAACACATCTCAACACCACACATTTACATCATCAAATACAACACACACAAACAACACATCTCAACACCACACATTCAATGCACTCATATACATCACCAAATGCAACACACACAAGCAAACACATCTCACACGCCCCCAACCCCCCCCACAGCCACACGCCCTACCAATGTACTCGTGGTGCAGTTGTGACAGCAGCGTAACCTCGCGAATGATGCGGTTGTTGAAGAGGGCGTCCTTGCCGTCCAATTTAATCTTCTTGATGGCGTAGATGCGCCCGTCTAACCTGTTTTTAACCTACAGCATACAGTCCCATTTGGGGGTGATGGGGGGAGGGTGAGGAGAATGGTGTGTGTAGTGTGTGTAGACGAGACAGGGGGGAGGGGCCGATATGAGAGGTAGATCATTGTAGGTTGTATTTGGGTTACCTACACCATACAGTGTCATTTCGGGATTTTAGTGTTTTAGTTTTACCTACACAATACAGAGCCATTTCGGGGTTTTAGGGTTTTAGAGTTTTTACCTACACCATACAGTCTAAAACATTTCGGGGTGGCCCATAAGAAAGGTGAGTCAGGGCAACAGGGCTCCCCACATCTACCACACCCCTGCCACAACAAACAACAAGTGCACACCTGAGTCTACTGGAGCATACCCTTTACCCTCAGAGGACCGGGGGTCTATACTAGATATGCCAAATATAGATGTTCCATCTTACCTACATGATAGTCTACTCCCTGCTACACCCACACAACAGCCCACCCATACCTTGACCACATCCGCGAAGCCTCCCTTGCCAATGAACTCGATCTCCTCAAAGTCAGTTCGGTACCTGCTGGCGGCTGTGGCCTTCGCATTGAGATCCGATTGACTGGACAGGGCACCTACCAGTGGCGACTGAGTGGGCGAGGTCACCCGAACTTTGTCCGATTTCAGAGAGGTTGCACCTGGTGCTGTCCTTCCCGGGCCGTTTTTGTCCGGAATGGATATGCTTGCTGGATATACAGATACGCGCAAGTTAGGGTGTGTGTGCAGAGAGTGTACAGGATGTGTCCAAATTGCCCGAAAACAGGTGCCAAGGACCGCCCCTCTTGAATGGGTGACCTCAGATCAAAGTGATACTACACTGTTGTTGTCTTTAGAGTACAACACTCATACACACCTACACACACACACCTATACACACACACCTATACACACACACCTACACACACACACCTACACATAAACACCTACATACATACACCTACACACACACGCCTACACACACACACCTACACATATACACCTACAATACGCACACCTACATACACACACCCCTACACACGCACACACAACTACCCACACACACACCTACTTACACACCTACATATACACCTACACACACACCCCAACAACTCACACACACACACACACACACACACACACACACACACACACACACACACACACACACACACACACACACACAC